ATGCAGGCTGATGACGTGGTATATTTGTGTGTGTGTGTGTGTGTGTGTGTTCCCTGGTTGCTAGAAAGGATAGAGGGTTGACGAAGCATGGTTACCTAAGATGTATGTACATGTGACTAGTGGATTATGTGAACGTGTATTGGGGGAGATCTGTGTTCGTATCCCTCTATGACGTTTAGTTGCTCTGGCGCGCCAGTAGTTGGAGATTGGGTGGCATCCATTGTGCTGCTGGCGGAAGCGACACTGCAATACTCTGTGTACATACATAATACATATGTATGTATGTATGTACAAATGCATATATGCAAAAAACTTGGCGCCAACGGGAGCAGCAGTGAATGGCGCAATGAGTGACGATCGCACTGTACTGCTGTGGCTGAGAGTGGCTGCCACTCGAGGACGTGTGGCGCAATTTCCAATACGGGCGGCAAATCTCCACTTGCAAGCATGGTCCCTCGCTGATGCATAGTGAGTATGCAACAGTCAGCAAGTCAAACTCAGGATCGTTGGGCGCATCAGCATACTCGGGCTGGTACAGTTGATACGTTGAGTAGGTCTTGGTAGACGGGCTGGGGCTCACTTATGCTACATACTACTAGGGGCTCATGCAAGGGTTTTTTCGGGGAAACCTGTGTAACGGGCCAACGTAAAGGCTGAGGCATGGCAGAGCAGATTCGGATGTCGCGGAATACTGCGATTTCATCTCCAGACAGACAATGCCTGATCAGCATGCCATGGACACGCAAGACATGGTAGCCAACGGCCAGAGCGTTGAAGCGCCAAGGGAGAGAAGACCCAAAAGGGAGAGGATGCGAGGAGCGGTACCGACAGCCAGCGACAGCGCCAGAAACAAAGGCCATCTTGTCCGTAAGCAGTAGCGCAACCGCATTACCATCTAAAATTAAATGTTCAAAGTTAAGATATTTGGCTGACACGGTCCTGCTAGGCGACGGCCGATTGGGCTGCGTGGCTGGCCAGTACGACGAAACCCTGCAGCCCTCTTTTGCCCCCTTCAACATGTTTCCTTGGCGGGTGAGGATCCCTTTCGGATAGCATCTTACTTGGTTCCCGCTGGTACACCCCTTGGTTTCTCTCTCCGCCCTCACGACACGTTAGCCATCTCACCGGCTTGCGCTTCTACAAAACCCTCGCCACCCGCCTGTCATCTCCGCCCTCTTCGTCTGCTGCTGCTGTTGTCGCTACTGCTGCTGCCGCCATTGCCCTCGCCCTCGCCCTCGCCATCGCCTATCGCTGCATTCGGTCCGGACGCCTCACCTGCACCGCCGCACCTCCCGTCCCACCCGCTACCGCACGCACAACGCCCCATCTAGTACTTGCGCGCCCTGGCCTTACTTCTGCTCTCCTATTGCCGACACGACTTTGCTATTGGCATGAAGGCATAGTGTAGACGAGCCCGCCCACTCTCGCTCGCTACATACACCACCACATCCATACACCATGGGTACGTCAAAACCGCGATCATCATCCGAACCTTAGACCCATCGCGTGGCTATGCGCCATTTCATAAAAAGTAGAGATCAACAACTGACAGACATGCAGTGGAAAAACGCCCCTCCATCGAGGGTCTTGTTGACAACATCGACCCGCGTGAATCCCACGAGCTCGAGGAGCTGCCCACATTCGAGAAACCTGTCACAGAACCTACGCCAATATCGCTCAAGGACAAGCTGATAACATGTTTCTGGATCGCACTCAACACGCTCTCAACGTTGGGATTGATCTTCCTGAGTAAACGGTATGGGACGACAAACGCCGACCGCGTTGGAAACCTGTTTGCTAACCGCCACGTAGAGTATTCAGCGACAAGCAGCTCAAGGCATGCCAACTCATGGTCGTCATGTGGCATTTCACCGCCACCGGTCTCGTTCTCTTCATTTCGACGCTGCGGCCCTTTTACGCCTTCAAGGCCGTCAAACTCAACATCTGGCAGATGCTACCCGTCTGCGGCTTCTTCGCTGGCTATGTTGTTCTTGGCAACCTTAGCTTGACCTTCAACTCGATTGGCTTCTACCAGCTTTCCAAGGTTATGACCACACCCACGGTCGTTCTCATCAACTTTGTCCTTTTCCGAAAGTACGTTACGCGATACATGCTGGCCGCTATTCTTGCAACATGCATTGGAGTTTCCTTCACCATCAACGAAGCGGCCAAGACCCAATTGTTTGGTGTCATTATCGCAACCTTGGCTTTCTGCAGTACTGCCCTGTACCAAATCTGGATTGGCAAGAAGATTGAGGACTTTGCCGTATCGCCTCCTCAGCTTCTGCTCAACCAGGCACCCATTTCGGTCTGCTTGCTTATTCCCTTTGTCCCATTTTTCGACACTCTTCCTGATCTTTCGACTGTGCCCACCGATATCCTCTGGAGCGTATGCGCATCGGGTATCATGGCTTCCATGTACAACCTGAGTCAGTTCTTGATCATTGGAAGGACCAGCGCCTTGACCTTCAACATCGTCAGCCATCTTAAGACTATTTTGATTCTGAGCATAGGATGGTACAGCGAGGGAAAGATCCTCAGCGGAAGAGAATGGTTTGGTGTATTGCTCGCACTGGGTGGTGGATGGGTGTACTCGCACCTTGCGCTCAAGGCTAAGAAGCAAGGTGGAAAGTAAGAGCGCGCGAACGAGGATGGATCGACCACATTCCTGCTCTTTAGGAATCGCAAGTTGGCCGTGTAATGAATATTGGATAGGGACTGGTAGCGAAGATGGCTTCTTCTTGGATACTCGTTTTCTGGATCGGTACAGCAATTCAAAGCCATCAAAGCACAAGGGGCGCAAATGATTTGACTCATGTCACGGCTTCTGGGCTTTTATTGATGTTGCTTGCACAAGAACAGCGAGATGAGTACGACTGATAGATTGCATTGGCTTACATCAATTTTTTGCACTAAGACAGCAGCAAGGCGCCCCTTTTGGAAGTTACAAGACAGCAGCGCAAGCAGTAGAGAGAGTTGGAGCTGAAGGGGGGGGGAGATTGGTGAGGATGAGCAGATGTTTTCATTAACTTTGGCTACGCTTTTTTTCGTTCAGACTTTGCGTTTTTGTTCTCATGGCCCTATCCCGTCATGTCTTTGTGTTGTCATCTCTCTTGCTTTTATACGTTTTTATCTCTTCCTTCTTCTCTGAACGACAGGAGAATTTGCGATAACATGGCCCATTTTTCTTCTCCCGAATGAGACTCTGATAGGTTAATACTTGTATCTTACAATACCATTTTCACGCACCGACTATCTCCCACTGTTTCACTCTCTGTCTGCCTCGACGAAATGCGCCTTGCTCGGTGTTTCTTACCAGCCATCGAACTAACGCGGTTTTCGCTCTATTAGTACCTTTTATCTATCTGACCGGTCTATAACCCACTTCTCCACTACACCTTCCTGCGCGCTCTTTTACTTCCGTTTCTAGATTGCATTCAAGATATGCGAAATACGACCTTTGCGCTATCCCCAATCCTACTCACCGCGAACCCTTGCGAATCCCTGCGTGCTGGCGCTAGTTCGACTTCCACGCCTTCCTGCGCGCTCTATTCTTTCCCTTTCTGGATATGTGCGTGCACAGCCCCCCACCCACTCCCGCTCTCCCGCTGCCAAAACTCGGTGTCCACGAGACTAGTTAGGCCCCTCGCCTCCACACCCGCCTTCCTTTTTGCCCTTTCTCAATTCTCCGATGACTGTATGAGGATGTAGCGAGGCTGCGCTCGCAGTTGCATTGTCCGCCTTGAGGGCTGTGTGATGGTCACGTGGACAGGTGAGGTAGGGGAGGCAAGGGTAGGCGAGTGGGAGGCCTGATGAGAGTGGGCTTTGCGAGGCAGATTCCATGGGCTGACATAGGGTAGATGAATGTGTACTGCGGATAGAGAGATGAGATGGAGGGAGAGTGAGATGGATATATAAGGGTAGGGTGGGATTGTGGTGGTATAGCATCATCATCATCATCAAACTTTACTACTTGCTTTCGACAACGCTTCCGATATATACGAATTTTCGATTCTTTTTTTTAACACGTCAATTAGCATTTGCGCAGCAAATTTGATTTTCTGAGATAGTTATTCCAGTGGTACTTGTTTCGGTACCAGACACTCATCTCCAACAAAACACCTTTTATCGAAGTCCGGACATTCACACATACCCTATCTCATCCACACCGAGCATAACATCCGGTCACCAAACAAAATCGTCAATCAATCAACAAAACAAACTACCTACACGACCCTTGCGATTCCATCTCGCAACAAACATAAACCAACGACAAAATGGGCTGCCGCTCTTCCAAACCAGAACCCTACCACTACCCCGAGCCACCGCGGTACGTGACTAAGAACAAAAAACAAGATCGCAAACACAAGAATAGCGGGTATAGTGGAGGGTATAATAGTACAACAAGTGCGTATGGGTATACTGGTGGGGGGTATAGTGGTGGGTATAGTGGAGGGGGCGGGGGTGATGGAGGGGGTGGTTGTGGAGGGGATGGTGGTGGTGGCGGTGGGTGCTAAGTGGAAGATAGGGGTGAAGGATTGGATAGTATTGGTTGAGTATTGCACGGGGCTTGGGCTTATGGTGGATGCGGGGAGTTTGATTTTGGGCGTTTTGAGGGGTTGGGGTTGGAATTGAGTTGGTGTAGATGGGTAAGAGAGGGAGTTTTATGGGTTTATGATTTTGGATTTTGTACAATTTGTTTTTTTTAGCGTAACGAATGCTTCTTTATCCTTTAGGCTACGTTAAATACTATTTCACGTTATTAAAGCTTCCAAAACTAGATTTTGCAAAAACACATTGAGGAATATTGCTGAGCTATGTCGATATTTGTATACAAGTGCATCTGGATTTAGTGGTTAGTAGAAGAGATGTAGAGAAAGCTTCTTCAGTACCAAAACTATAGAGCCCCTTCGATCACCCGAACAAAATGTGAAGAAATTTAATAAACCATAAACCCCTCCTCAAACCATCAACCTATAGAATTCGAGCCCCATTCAATCCTAAAGAACACTCCTCTCCTTCACCAAAGTGTTTTTCTCCAGCTCCTTAACAAGCGACCAGTCCTTGAGTGGCTTCCCCAGACGCGTCTTGTCCTTGCAATCTTCGCTAAGATCGAATATTGCTTCAGGGTTGGGCCACACGTATTGCATCGCCACCTCTTGCTTAGGTGCTCCATACTCATCAGTAATCATCCTAGTCAGCAAATGCCTGTCCGTAATCTGATTCCAATGTCCTAGCCTGTAGTTTTGCGTAGTACAGGGAGCGTGAAGAATTTGGAAGGCGGATTGAATCTTCATCAAATGCTTTGAAATAGAATTTCCGCACCTATGGCTCTAAACGATTTCCTTAAATGTGTCATCGAAACTAAGCTCCCACACCTTGAGCTTGTCAAAGTGCTCGTTTGGAGCATGTAGCTCAAGAGTCCGGATGTCAGCAGGTGGACAAGTGCGCTTCGGGTACAGCGCATGTGCCTTGGCTACCCAGAGTGCATCTGTGAGATATAGGCCACCATAGCGGCAGAGGTCTGTAGAGTATCTCGATGAAAGCAATGGGAGAAGGTTGAGTTCTTGAGACATTTCGCCATTATCGGTTTCTTCGGTACCGAATACAGCTTGTGCTTTATGGAACTCGACGCTCTTGAATAAGACCCGATGTCCTGGGGGCGGCGGTATCACCACATCGTCTTCGGTCGCTCTTCTCCTTGGATTCGGCCCTAATGATTGCTCTTGTTCTAAGACGTGCTCGTTTACATGTTCGAGTGTGCGGAAGTAGTTGCCGAAGATTTCCTCGAGTCAAGTTTGGAGAGACTGAGTACCACGGATAGCTTCGAACTCCTCATTCATTATAGCATCTTGGGGCTCTTTCTTGATACCAACCGCTGTAATTGCTTCCATCCAATTGTCTCAATCTCCAGCTGCGAGTACATCATCACAGACTTCAGTAACTCTCTGGACCAAGTATGCCTCAAGACTACACTCGAGGAACTCTGAATCGAATTCTTCGCCATAATTGTCCATGATACCATCGCGTATCTTCTTTCCATCGTTATATATCAACCGTGCCGCTTCGGGGGTCAGACCCATGTACTCATAGGTATGGTGAGACTCTAGTAGTAGTAGTAGTAGTAGTAGTAGTGAGAAAGCAACACAAAAGGGACGCGGGGTTCTTATAATTCCAGGACAAGCTAATGAAAATATTATATCTTCTCACTCATGGTAGTTGTTCAGAATCTGCTGCCTATCACGTGAAGATAAACTAGCGGTTAACCATGGTTCGTTGACAAAGTAACCGTAATACAAGATTTCTTATTTGTCGATTTACACACATATTTAAATATATTATCATACTTACAGCTCGTAAGCGGCGATAAAGAGGATGAAAACTTTAGTGCCAATATTGTTCTGTCTGTCTACTACCGTAACTACCCGCTACTCACTAACCTGGCTCCTCCGGCTGCTCACTGCTGGCTACTCATTGCTAAATAATCTAGCTTGGAATTTCTGGTTATTAGCCAACAACGGAAGACGAGGGATTTATATGATAATATCAATTGCAAGGCCGTATATAAGAAAATGTTCGTAATCGTTACAAGATATCTGCAGCTGTCTTCCAACAACTGCATAACCGTTGTTCATGCCCAATCCTCTAGTTTTTTTGAATTTTAAATTTTGAAGAAATGAAAACCATGAAAAGAAAAATCCAAACCTCAACGCCATCCACAAAAACCCGTGTCTATCCCTAAGATTCTTCTAGCAAGAAAGATCACCGCTGATAGGATCATATTTGCAAGCTTTGTCGTCGTATTGGTAACGAAGCTACAGATCAAACTTAGCCCTGGCTCAAGAAAAGATATCAAAAGAACACTTACGTTGATAAAACCACCATCACCCTGGGTGAAAAACTGCGTGCCCTTCCCAATGTACATGCAATCGTAGTCGGTATTAAAAGCACCGAGACTGAATTTCAAGCTCACCACGTCCGAAATGCCTGCCTTGTTGCTGACATCCCATGCCTGGTTGTAGCACACAGCCGCAACCCACTTGGCCGGGTCTGGGTTGTTGTTCCACAGTGACAGAGTCGCTTCCTCAGTAAAAGCCTCACGAGCGGGGTCCCACTCGGTGATAGGTAGCAGTTTTTTGAGTATCCCGGCGAGTGCGAGGCTGAGCTGCTCACCCGCTGCTGAGGCCACACTGCCGGCGATGATACTGGCTATAGCGCGTTTGGACACATGGTTAGGTTTGTCCATGTGGTTATCGGGGCGAGGATTGATAGCATAGGAGGGTAGGACGTCCTGGATTTTGAGTTAGAAATCATGGGTTTCTTGAAAGATGAGCTTGATTGTACAATTGAAGGAATGTTAAGACCCTGTTCAAGGACGGGCGCTGCGCTGGCGAGAACGGCGGTGCCGATGATGTAGGCAAGGGAGTAATGCATCTTAAAAGAGACTTGGAGAAAGAATGATTGACTTGGTAAGTGGTAGTTGTGAATGACAGTGAGTGATGGTTGTGAATGAGAGTGTGAGTGATGCTTCTGTAAACTCGTTTTTTGATAGTCTTTATACAGAATCAATTATCTGCTGTTCTGAGCAGACTAGTCCATAATAATTGGCCCCCATATACCTTTGCCGCATGGCAGTGGCATCTTGACAGCGGCATGATGTTTCAGTTTGATGTGTGCATGTTCTGGGGAACACTTCAAAAGTGATTTAATCTATGTTCGACTGAGAAAGTACAGGGGAAAAATCGACTGATTGGCCATGCTAACCAGCAAAAGGTTTCTAGCGTTGCTTAGAAGCACTTTAGTGCTGTTCTGAAAGTTCAGCATTAGTTGAGCCAAGGATAGTAATGCCTTATTCATGGATGTGCTCTGTGGGCGCGGATCACGGATGGCTCAGATCTTACTGGTACAAAAACCATGATGTGTATTTTAAGAACATTCTCCACTATATCGTTTCGAAACTGCTCTGCCGCTAGATTACAGTATTCTCGTTAGAAAGGTCTGACTCACATGCTGGACCATAGCAAAAGATAAATGATTGTCTTCTGATCGGGCTTTGGCCTTAATAGGTAGGATACCTTGTCTGTAGAAGACTGCTATGTAACTCCAATATGATCTAAAAATATACACACTACCATGGTATTCGTAAAACCATGGTGCTTTCGTAGCTAGCCTGTAGGCCAAGCAGACAAAGCAGACGTACATGGTTTTTCGCATCCAAGGTTTTCCTTCATCCAAGATGTTAATCCTCTACGAACCATGAGCCTCAGAAACACGATAAAAAAAAGTAACAGTGGTCAGATCCACGCGACAACAAGGTGGTGCACGCACATCATCAGGTGTTTAGGTATACGGTGTTGCGCAGCATTGGATATTCGGACAAGCCTGGATGTGTCAACTGTCAAGAAATGTTACCACCTAGCTAGCCAAGGTCGTCCAAGTTACGAGTAGCGATTCAGTCAAGCCTATCCAGAACATCATCCCTTGAACTTGACTGTCGAGTAGAGAAGGGTAGATCTATATTGAGTTAGGTCATCTATATCTGCTCTAGTGTGAATGTATAGATCCCCCGTCTCTGATTGGTCCTACGCACGTACGGAACGTTCCGGCCGTTTTAGAGCATAACATCTAGGCATGTTCTGCAACGTTTTACATAGGGCGCTCTGATCCTGTTTGACCTATGTTTCTACACTAGGTAGCGTCGCAGCCAAGAAAATGCGCTTTGACAGATGGTGTGATTGGACCGGAGGTTTATGTTGAACTGGGTTTGTAGTGCATGGCTGTTTTACACCGTCTGTCGATATGTCAACGCTCCACTACATTGCTACCTCTATGTATACCTGCGTATCATGAACGAGAGATAATCGCGACAAAAGGTGTATCTATCATGATGTTATGGTGGTATAATATGACCAGAGCAAAATGTGAAACTAAGCACGTCTTAACTTATCGTGTTTAGTGCAGGCTATGTGGTCGCTTTGGCTCCTCCGGTCCGACTCACATGACTAGCCCTGTATTTCTGAGCATTTACTATATTGAAACAAGAAGTCTGCTATAGAGGGTGGGAGTATTCTGTCGATGTGGGGTTAACGGTAAGGTTACTGACTTAGCTATGTAGCATGTGGTTCTGCTGGGACGCACGGCCGTTGCTGTCGCAGGTACCGACAGTGCACATCCTTGGTAGATACACAACACCCTGTACTTATCAACCCTAGCTACCCTGTGTTTGAAGCGGCTGATATCCCAGCTTATCTTTAGCTACCGAGTATTCAAGGTAGATGATGATTCATATGCACTAACACTGTTTGCATCAGCATCGTGGCTTTCTATTTCTGGTAACACATAATGTGCGTTTGTTGACAAGCGACTGGGCATGCTGTTGGATAGCATCTGATGGCGAGCATTTGTACACTTCCTTGCGATTTTAGCAGTAGCATTTGAAGCAGGATTTGCAGTTGGAGTGATGGAGTGATTCAAGTTTAACGCCCCTTACAATAGCCTTAGGACATGACGATAGGCAAAACCCAGAACTTATAGTACTTGATTACTTTCTGGTTAACTTGTCTAGAGTGTAAGACCTTTTAAAAGAAACCACAAGAAGTGGTAGCCATCCTTGGTACAGGGTCGTACCGTCATGAATCATCACTCCGTAGGGAATTCAATGTTTTGAGACATTGATATAGCTTGACAAGATTGCTCAACATATTTTGCGAAACCCGTTTCCAAGATCCGTTACTGGTGGAAATGAAATCATGTGAGATGACATCCAAGGTACCCCAAAGACAGCGAGCATTCTGCATGTGTCAAGTACACTTTCCAGACACTCATCGCGCACCTTGTCTCACCTCCTAGCATTTTGCACTGTCAGTGAACCTCTTGTATTTCACTCTCGCGTCATAAAATTTCTATACAGCAATACTGCTCACTACTTTGCAACCTTACGCAATGAGTCAAGACAACTCAGACGATTGGGAGTCGACTTCCGAAGATTCTGGTCAAGGGTACAACTTGATTTCTGGTCACATCTCCAAAGACAATTAGTGAAGGATGACTCCGGCAATAAGTGCTAACGAGGTGTTTGTAGTGACGACGGGAACACTGCACCCCCAGAAATCAAGAGAAGTACCAACGTGCCGTTTTCAAAGAGAAGCCAAGAGGAAATAGAGAATGATGTGTATGTCTTGCATCCCTTTCTGACCTTCGTATCACAAAAGCACGCGAACCACTCGAGGAAGCAGAAGAGCTGACTATCCTACACAAAACTGCTCTCACAGACTTCAATTCTTCTAAATTCTGCACCTTGCTTACATCCTCACTCCCTCAGAGTCCAAATCCGCAGTCGGAATTCATCCATTTCTTCAGGTCTAGCGCGTCTCTCCATGTCTCAAATCACTGCTTCACAGCCATTCCAACCGCAATCCCTAGAGCCTCAGATTTCCACCTTTCCAGAACAGTTCCCATATGAGCCCCAACACGATTGCACTCGCTTGCCAACAACGCCTCTACTAGGCCATCACGACCCAAGTTTCCCAGCCCAGAGACGCGGGCCAGACATTACACGAAATCCCATATCAGATACATGGCGCGAGGACGCATATAAGAAGAAAGAGGCTAGAAAGGAGAAGATAGTGGACATGGCGAAGACGCAAGACTGGTGGCGATGCGAGTACTGTGGAAACCTGAACGAGAGGGGCATCACAAAAGATGATTCCGGGGTCGATAAGAGAAAGGATGGCCACGATGCTGGGTCGGGAGTTGCGAGCTCATCCAGAGTGTGAGTCTCCACTTCAGTCAGGGACATAGAAAGGGGAAAGCAGTCTACTAACCAAACGTCTTCTTCAACCTGCATATAGACCCCCACACACCTCAAGCAATCCCATCAAAATTCCTGGCTCCATTCCACCCGGTGTTGCGCCTGGCGACCTAGTCAGATGCACATATTGCGGTGAACAAATGTTTGTTGAGCTTTCGCGCTATGATCCGAGAGAATTGGCCGAAGACGGAGTGCGCTGGAGTGTCGTCGAGGACGCGCGTGAGAAGAAGGAACTGACAAAGGAAGTTATGAGAGGAACGGCACAGAAGAGGGTTCGTGAACGGTGGAAGAAAGATGCGCAGAGGAGCAGGGAGGAATTGAGAAAGAAGAGTATCGGGGAGACAGAAGGAATAAGGGTTGAAGGAGGGGAGAATGGGGGAGGGATAGCAATACATGAAGAGGAGGAGGCTGGGGGAGTGATAATAGAGGAAGAAGATGATACAGGGGGTGTGATAATAGAAGAGGGAGAATCAGAGGGAGCTAGCACAGAAGAGGAAGAAACGGGGGGAGTGAGAATACCTCAGCATACACACATGCATCCACTGAAGAGGTAGAAGATCAGAAACGCGTTAGCTAAAGTACCAAAGACTATCCGCAAAACCTTACAAATCTCAAGTAAATCAGTGTCACAAGATACGCATATTTTCATCCTTCTTTCCTACCCACCCCTCCACTACACTCTCCACACACACACCCCTCCAACCTCACCAGCTCCCCAACCACCAAACCAACCCACCCAACCCCACCGTAACACCCAAATGCCATGCAACTCCCCACGCCATGGCAAACAGATACTTGGGACTAAACACCGTCCAAATAAACAAATGCTGTCTCAATACCATACAAGCCAACATAACCGCCGCCAGCATCGCCCCCGTCCAAAATGTCAGCACTGCCACATGCCCTACCCAGGCCTCCCAGCCTCCCCTCTTGTCCCTAGCATCCTGCTCCCTCCCCGCCAACTCACCCAACCACTCACGCTCCTTGGCCACCCAATCCGCAACATGCATCTCACGCGTATCCACGAAGCGCTGCGTGCCACCATGGCGACCCAGCAGCAGCAAGCCGGCTAGCGACCAGTATATAGGCCCAGCCCAGTTGGATGCGAAGACAAGGAGACCGACAGCGAAGATATTGTAGGTTGAGATTCCGTTGTAGGAGTTGGAGAGGGAGATAGAGGAGATGGAGTTGGAGTTTGCGAGGGCGAAGAAGGAGGTTTGGGAGAGGAGGAGGGTGGTTAGGGTTATGGATGCTGGGGTTAGGGTGAGGAGGGCTGGTTGTGTCGGTCAGTTTTCTTTGTTTGAGTTTTTTTAGGGGGGAGGGGAGGGGCAAGGGGGGAAACGTACAGAGGAAGAGGTTTTGGAGGCGGAAGAGGAAGTAGAGGGGGATGTTTTCTGCTTTTGTTTGGGTGAGGAGGAAGAGGGTTGTTAGGTCGAAGAAGGCGACGGCGAGATCTGAATGTTAAATTTTTGTTAGCGATTGTTCTTTACAAGGCAAAGGGTATGGAGATTAGATGGATGGTTGACGTACCGCCGTTGCCTTGCCTCCCACGCGCTTTTCTCCTGTTCGAGCGTGTCCACTCGGCAAATGCGATCCAGACTCCACTCAGAAGAACACCACCGAAGACCATACGAGCAAGGCCGACAAGCTCCAACGTATCAATCTTCGCCATCAGGTCTGCGTTGATGCCGCTCGTCATCTCTGGGGCGTCCTTTGCCGTGAAGGCAAGCTTGAAAACGAATGCTGTTCCACATAGCGGTAATACAGCAATTGTACCAAGCAGGCGGTGCTGATCCGTCGATTCAAGCTCCACGGTACGAGCTTTCTGGTCAGAATCAAATGTCGCAACGGAACGTGCGACGTGCCTGGCTAGCCGAATCGTAAGATCCATATACGTGACTCCGATGAATATCCACAGGATAGCAGAGTATCTCCCATGAAACAAGCCGCTATTCACAATATCATCCGCGCCAGCGTACTTCTGGCCAGTCTGATTCCATCTCCGTATGATTCTGTGTACGGCCAACGCCATGATAGCGGGGTGGAAGATCCACTGGCTGTACCATTCCTTGCGCATGTTCTGCAGGAAAAGGCAGAAGAACCAGCCTGATGCGGTCCAGTACCAGAAGTTGTGCTCTTCTTCCACGTAGGAGGATGCGAACATGAGGATGGCGTATAGAGCAAGGGATAGGCCGAAGTAGATGCCGGCTGGAGTGATGGGTCGGAAGGAAGGGAGAGTGAAGAAGGATAATATGCATATGAGGAAAGCTAGGCCTGTGCCGATGAAGAGGCGTGGCAGATTGTAGTTGGATGCTGTGCTGGACATGGTTTCTTGAGCCAGGTGCATGAACTGATATTGTTAGTGTGAATCTTCCGAACTATGGCAGCGAGCGACGCAATACGTACCTTGTAAAAGCTTGTAACATCATTCTTTCCGTCTGCCAACGAAGAGATAATTGCTCGCCAGAGACAAGCGAGCTTTTGACCATCATTTGCCTAAGCACATTAGTAACTGACTGTCTGTGGGGATTGTCACAGAACATACATCATATCCTTCGGCGCACTCTGGAGCATGGCCCGACTTTACGAACGAGTCCTCGAACTTGAGATTGGTGTACTTGACTGCCACAATCTTCTTCATTTGCTTCGCGTTGCGGTAGAGAAGCTGGATGCGATCCAGAGCTAACCATCATCAGTCATAGCCATCTATCAGCCAGCATTGTTACTTACGCGCATCCCAAAAGGGAAGGAAATCCTCAAGGAAGACACCGAGATTGTTTTGGGGGACCGGAAATCCAAGCAAGCTAGCCAGTGTTGGAGCGATATCACTCTGCTCAACCATGCGGTAGTATTCAAACTCGCCTTCGGTCTTGGGCTTGACTGGACTCTTTCTGTTGGCGGGTTTGGTGATCTTGGTAAGCTTTGGGCTCATAAAGACAAGTGCTGGAGATGTCTCCCCAGGAGAGGAGCCACCATGATTGCCGCCGTCATTCATACCATGGTCGCCACAAAGAACGAACAGAGTGTCGGAGAGGTGGTCCTCGTTTTCGATAGCCGAGTAAATGTCGCGAACAATTTCATCCATTTCAATCTGTTTGGGAACCATATTGGGGCTATGCGACGGTTAATACTTTGAATCCTAACCAAGTTGAACGCAGCATTCACCTCTTCGGACCAGCCTTGTGCCCAATATGATCCAGACCCAGATAATGCATAATCATTGCATTCCAGTCACTGTTCAGCAACTCATTTGGAACATGCCTCGTCACATTATTGTCAACCTCTGTAAAATCCTGCACTTTGAAATCAACATTCTATTGTTCCTATATACGACAGGACGCTCATGACTGACCGAGACAAAAAAGCTGCTCGTTCCATCTGCGCGCTCAAAAACATTTGGAAAGAGCTTCAGCCAGGTATCATCGCCGTACATGACCAGCTTCCCTTTGCCATTTTCAAAGTCCTTTGCTCTGATCTGCGCGAGCCATGTGTCCTGCGTCGCGAGGGTCGACGTCGTGTCTGATTCGGCAAAGTTAAGGATTACGTCTACGAAGGAGGGAATAGAGCCTGTGGTAATGGCCTTTACACGTGGCATGGTAATTGTAGGGGAGGTTGCGTGAGCCGTGAACGGTAGTGCGGTTCCGTCGCGTATTAGACTAAAGGGATGTCAGCCATGATGCGACTCTGTATCAGACTTTCCAGCGGGCTGTCGTACCTCTGTACAAAGGACATGCCGCTCTCCTCGCCATACACAAAGTCGCTTCTCAGCGCGTCAACCACCATGAAGACAACTTTGTCGAACGGCGGAGTAGGCGGCTTTTGCCAATCCTTGCCCAGTTTTTCAGAGAACCCAAGTTCTTCATACTGGGCAAGACCCGGCATAAACGGTTTGTAAGGAAAGAAGCCAGTTGCGAAGACCAGTATCGCGACTGGGATCAGAAGATTTGCGACCGTCAGAAAAAGCGTTCGAAGCGCCATTGCGATCCAGCCACCTGTGTTTTAGTCAATTGAGAGATTTTAAGGAGCGAAAGTTGTCATGGCGAGCGCCAAATAGTGCCTAGTTGAGATCAACACGTCCAACATGGTGTTGGAAGACGCGACGTTACGTTTGGGGCGCCCAAACTCAGGGTCCTGCTATGCCCAAGATGGCTTAGCAAATATGCTAGTGAGCCAATGACATCACTATCCTCGGATTTCAGCTCTTCCCCAGAAGTCAGTAATCTATTCCAGCACAAACATACATGTACCGAATGCCATTGGGATTGAGTGGTTTGACAAGAACGCAACTTCCCATACACATCCCGGCTCCACATACCCTGCTACCGGCACGTGCTATCCGCTCCTCTGCACGCATCACGACAGCCGACCGAAGCCTCGAGAGACAGCTTTCCGAATACCTACACCAGCAACAGCTCGCCCGTGAGCCTAGACGCCCACAGAGACAGGTAAATATGTTGTTTATTCTGCCAGGTCTCCGTAGAGGCCTGATGCTCAGCACGCCGCTCATTCTCTCGACACCGCTGCTAGCACATCAATTCCGAAATGCGCAACGCATACGCTGCGATGGACCGGATCCCATCACAAAGATTACTAGTGACTTGAAGAGCAACTATGCCGCTGAAGCAAGAACACCCGTTATTACTCAGTCAGGTGCGGTAAACCCCAGAGCAATTCGACAAATTAGCATGGGAAGCATTCTCGGTGTTATTGGAGGGTTGGGAATTAGCGTCTTCAGCAAGCCGCTGGCTATATTGATTGGGTTAGGCATCTTTGCTGTACAGGTAAGTTTATCATCTCAGTCATTGAGGCTCTATACAACTATCTGGGATATACTTCTTTTACCGAACATTACATCCTGGGAATATCGTCCCTGTTATGCACTTCCCATCACCCGCCCTCCATGCTTATGCTTTGAACGTGAAAAACAAGATTGACCCATGTGGTAGTTCATCGAGTCGCGAGGAATCCACATCATACCGTACTCATTCCTCCAGCGCCGGCTAAAGTCCATGAACGTCCGGTCGCTGGTTCAAGACAATGTGGCTTTCAAATTGTCCTTTGGTCTGACGTTCGCCATGGCTGCGTTTGCTGAATTCTAAATCCAACGAATTATCAACAGGTCACTCAGTATGCAGCCGGTTGAGGGAAACCTTGGGCAAAGCGATGCGCTGGGTTCATCACTTGTGGTTGGAGCTGCATCTGCAGTTGTTTGCAACTCGACCAGAAGGCCTTTACCGTGTCCTTGAAAGCCACACTGTTCCTTGCGTTCCTGTACATAGGTTAGCTTTGAATACACGCATCATGGCTATCGGCCAAACATACCTAGACATGCTTTCAATGAGTTTTCGCACCATGTCCTGAACGCCCTGGTCTTGTTGCAAGCGTTGGAGAAGTGGCTGCTCCGCCAATGAGTTTGTGATGTATGCTCTTGCGTTCTTGTCGGCCCTCATAAAAGCACGAAGGGGCGCTACAATGTGCTCTAAGCTACTGTGGTCTACTTCTCCGCAGATGTTCGCGATTAGTGCAAAGCAGACCGAGGGCCCGAAGTGAGCCA